TATATATATATATATATATAATTTATAAATGAATTTGACCGTTATTACAATTTTAAGAACTAAATCACTCTACATATATAAATCAGAATATTTTTCTTGATGAAGAGTTTTTTTTTTAATAATTATTCAAAACAAAAACATTTTTAGCTGTTTTCTTTTTCAACCAGAACACTTTTAGAAGTTTTCTCAATCGCTCATCTCTTTTAATTTATCTTTTTTATTTTTAATTTTATATAGTATAATTTAAATATTTTTTAAAAATTATCAGAAACTAAAAATTACAATATAATACATTTATTATAAATTTTAATTATATAAAACAAACATTTATTTTAGCAGATTTTTCTTTCCGACCAGAACATTTCTAGAAATTTTCTCAATCTAACATTTCTTTTTAATTTATCTATTTTATTTTTAAGTTTATATAGAATTAATTTTAATTTTTAAAAATATTATCAGTAATTAAAAATTACTATAAAATATGTTTTTATAGATTATAATATATAAAACAAACATTACTTTTTTGTTATATATGCACGAGCTAAAATATTAGTTAATTAATAGTTTACAATTTCAGAAACTATTTGTCATTTTATTTATTTCAAGGATCAATTTAACCATTTATTACAATTTTAGAAACTAAAAAATTAATTGATATTTATGATCTCAAAAACTATTTTATCTTTTTACTAATTTTAGACCGACTTAACTACCTATAGAATTTCAGAAACGAAACCTGTGATTACTCTTTCAGAATCAGAATATTATATATGATGCTAACAAGGGCATGGTGGTGAACTTGCACGATAATCTTCCTCTTAATATATTCATGGCTGCTCAGTTATACCATCGTTGCATATGACATCATGCACACTTTACTGCAAAATGTGTCTGTTCTTACCGGAGATTGGTCGTAGGGGACGATCTGTTGGGTAAGATCGGTAAGCCTCCTTCGCTGGTACGCTTGCTGCTCCAAGATGGGGGTGGTACCTGCAAAAGAGACTCCGATGCTAAAGTTAGTGTTTGTGGGTGTATGAGTCTCGTATAAGTAATGCACGTACCTTTGTGTGTATTGGGATTTTGTTAGGCCTTGGGCCCGAGATCAGTTTATGACCTAATTGGATAGCGAGCCGATGTCGCCTAGCGCGTGTCCGAGGTCATTTCGCGCTGTGATGCCGAGCTCGAGCTCGGCATAGCGGTACGGATAGTACACTAGCCCCCCGAGCTCCGAAGACCGTAGGTCGAGGAGTTACGACCGAGCTCGACAATGGTGACTCGCGTACGCCTATTTGTCATGACGCCATGTGTCATAACCGTCACCTCGTTCCCATAACGCGTGGGCGGCGCGGTGACAAGATTGTATTTTTATTTGTTTGATGACGTGACCTCTTTGGGTCGATGTGGTGTTCCGATATCCATGTTTCATGGTCGGGCTGAGGAGCTCGGTAATAATGAGCTTACTTCTTGGTTAGGCTGGTAAATCTTTGACCGAGTCAGCAAATTGGTGAAGGACAAGTCGGCAACTCGGCTGGCCAGTACAGTGCCTAATAATTTGGATAACATATATATATATATATATACA